AGCATGGTAGCTTGTCCTCATCTCGATGGTGTAGTTACATTATTTTAGGCTTGAATTTCAAATGGATCTTGATGTTCCTTATTTCAAAAGGTGGTAAGCCAGCTGGTGCTGCATTTGGAGATCCCTCGTTCTGCAGCGTACAGCTGGGGACACCTGCCCTCCAATCCTATCCTGGTGACATTCCTTCCTCCTAATTTTGCTCTTGGGCGTATTGATATGCATGTCACTCCACCTTTACTCTACCGCAGATCTCCTAACCTGCTGCTGAAAACTGATTTCTGTTATATAAACCCAGGAAACCTCTTCTGGGCGTTTGACTGCAATCCCTCTGCATGAGCTGGGCATTTTTTGGTGTCTGGTCTGAGCTGCTGCTGCTGCAGGAAATTTTCAGGAAATGATTCTGGCAATTCCAGACGTGTTTAAAAAATTTGTTGCAGCAGTGTGGCTGTCCTGCCAAACATGATGACCGAGATAATCTCAAGATGTGGACTCCTAGCAAACAAACAAGCATAAATCATGACTCATCTTTTAACAACGCCCCCCTCCCCAGCCTAGAAAAGCCCAGATAGAAAATTATACTTTTTAGATGTCTGTGGAGATTCTCATTCATCCAGGTCAGGAGTTGGCAACCTCAAAACACTCAAAGAGCCATTTGAACCCGTCTCCCACAGAAAAGAAAGCACCAGGAGCCACAAAACCATTTTGACATCTAAAATAAAGATAGCACTGCATGTATTTTTTAAAAAATCTTTATGCTATGTATAATTATAGTGTGTTGCATTTATGAAATCAATGAACTGCTATAGAGAAAACTAACTTTTATTTCTGCATGCAACGAAAACATTTTCAACTCCCCAAAAAAAGATGGGTCGAAAACCCCAATAAATCGCGTGTCGGTCGGTATCGCACATTGGCAGTTGTAGTACATATTTTGAGCGACAGGGAGCCACAGCAGAGGGACGAAAGAGCCACATGCGGTTCCAGAGCCACAGGTTGCAGACCCCTGATCCAGGTCATGGTTGTGCCACAAGTGCTTTTCTCAAGATGCAACTGGACTTTCTAGTTTTTCTTTGAAGATGTTTCACTTCTCATCCAAGAAGCTTCTTCAGCTCTATACGTTTTAGAGTGAAGATTTCTTATTACCGAGTTTGTAAGTCACTGAAGAGCTGTGCTTACCAAGTGCTGCCTGCAAAGTCTAATTCAACACTACTTCTCAGTATATGCAGGTAGTCTTTGACTTACAACAACCATTCGTTTAGTGACCATTTGAAGTTATGACGACATTGAAAAAAGGGGTGTGTGACTGTTTTTCACACTCATTGCAGCATCCCCTTGGCCTTTTGATCCAAATTTGGATGCTTGGCAACTGGCATCTAGTGATGACGGTTGCAGTGTCATGTGACTTTCACAACTGACTTCCGACAAGCAAACTCAATAGGGGAAATCAGATCCTCTTAACAATAGCATGAGTCACTTAACGACTGCAGTGATTTAATCATCAATTGTGGCAACAAAGGTCATAAAATGGGACTAAATGTGCTTAAGAGTTGCCTTGCTTAGCGACAAAAAGTTTGTGGTTTCAGTTGTCGTAAGTCGAGGACAATCAACAATAAGAGATGTGACATCCGGATTGCGTTGTTGCTATTATGGCATCCGATGGGCTTCATTCCCAAGGAAAAGCACATTTCGTTCTAAGACCTACTTCAGTAAAATTTGGCTCTGGGCTGGAAGGTTGCCAGCAATCCCGAGACTCAGTTTTTGAGGATTAGCACCTGGAACCTGGCAGCTTAGAGGTGAATTCTAACCCAGCGATCAGTAGGATTGGGGAAGGATCAGAGCAGGTGGCTGGAATTTGCCTGCTAGAGAACTATCTTCTATCTGGGTCGATGGAGCGCAACGGAGCAGAGCAGATCACAGCAGATAACAGCTTATTATTCATAAATAATCTGCCCTACTTCAAGGACCCTTTAAAAGGATGCAAATGACCTGCTGTCTGCAAGGAATATAAATCCTTCCATTCCCCTCTATCCTGTCAGAGCTGAAGAAGCTTCTTGGATGAGAAGTGAAATGTCTTCAAAAGAAAAACAAGAAAGTCCAGTTGCCTCCTGAAAAAACACCTTTGGGACAACCATGACCTGGATGACTGAGAATCTCTACGTTTTTTTTTCTTTTGAAGACATTTCATTTCTCATCCAAGAAGCTAAACGTAGAATCTCTACGTTTAGCTATTCAATTTGGGAGGAACACCCTTTGAATGGTGTGGGAGTAGGAATGGACTTCCAGAGGAAAAATTGCAGACTACAGGAATTAAAGGCAAGTACTCAGATGACCCTGAGGACACAGGTAAACTTCCAAGTGCTTCAACAGCCCTCTAAAAGGATGCATATGACTAGCTGTCTGCAAGGAATACAAATCCTTCCATTCCCCACTCTGCTGTCAGAACTGAAGAAGCTTCTTGGATGAGAAATGAAATGTCTTCAAAAGAAAAAAATAAGGAAGTCCAGTTGGCTTCTGAAAAAGCACCTTTGGGACAACCTGCCCTACTGATTTTTTTTTCATCTTGAGCTCCTTTCTTTTTTAAAAAAAATTCCTGCAAAGACCCCATAAAGAAAGCAGAAGTCCTGAAAATTTGGAACTAATTTGGATAGCTGGTATCCCTATAGAGAAGGCCACCTACCTGATCCCCATTATAGCCCTCATATACTGTATATAGATTAAGTTAAGTCTCTTGCTAGAAAATTTGGATATATACTTAAACACATCTCAAAACTACAGGGATTGGACTAGTAGACCTCCAAGGTACCTTCCAACTCTATTATTCTGTTGTTGTGGACTAATTTTTCTTTTGTTAAGCAATGTCAAATCTAGACAGGAGACCACTCAGAAATTCCAGGGCTATACCACTTAGACTGGAAATGTAACATTCCAAGAGAAATCATAAAATCTCCAAGTGAAACACATATTGAGGTTAGGCCTTTGAATGTCCTGGCCTAAGAACCTCTGTGCATTTGCTTGCAAAGGTGTCTCAAGGTGGTTATACCTGCTTGTCCTCTCACCTTGGAGGACATAAAAACTTAATTTTCATTGTGGATGTTACTTTATAGACTCCTTTTGTTTTAAATTGCAGCTCCTGCATGCAACGAATAATGTCATGCCCTTATTAGAAAGAATCCCAAATTGGAAATCTGCAGAAAGGAGAAGAAATCAAAGCAATCAAGATCAGAAAGAAGGCAAGG